GACCACAGGCGCCTGCCACAGTGCCCGGCTATTTTTTTTGGCTGCAGCTGTCATGGTTGTTTGGCAGGCCTGGGCTGGATTTGAACCCGCCACCTTGGGTGTATGTGGCTGGTGCCTTAGCCACTTGAGCCACAGGCACCGAGCCACTGCAAGCAATTTTAATACAAAAGTGTGTCTCGTTTTTAAACAATTCATTGGTAGAGCCAGAGTCTTACTTTGTCACCCTCGGTAGAATGCCGTGGCATCATAGCTCATAGCAATCTCAAACTCCTGGGCTCAATCATTTCTCTTGCCTCAGCCTCCCAAGTAGCTGGGACTACAGGTACCTGTCACAACACCTGGCTATTTTTAGAGATGAGGTCTTGCTCTGGCTCAAGCTGGTCTCAAATCTATGAATTCAGACAGTCCACCAGCCTTGGCCTCCCAGAGTGCTAGGATTACGGGTGTGAGCCACTATGCCAGGCCTGATTTTCTTTGTAGCAGTTATCAGTACCTGACAGTGTATTGCTGATCTCTGTTTACATGTTTCTTGATTTTCCTCATCTGAGGACGGGGACAAAGCAGGACTGGAATGGAGGTGTCAAGCCCCCACATCCCAGGAGTCTCTGGGTCCCCAGAAAGGAGCAGCTTCTTTGTTGCTGCCTCCCTAAGTACTTGGCATTAAAAGGCATACGTGGAACCATTTTGTTTACCTTTACCCCATGCCAGGCTTTGTTCTGAGTATGCTACCAAAATGTTCTATTAATTCATTTAATCTTCACAACTCATTGAAGGCGGTGCCATGATTATCTTCCTTTTAGAGAGAAAGAAACTGAGGTACAGAGGGGTGAAGTCCTTAGCCCAAGGTCTTGCAGAGGTGGCACTGGAAGCCTGGCCCTCCAGGCCCTGGGCCTGCACCCTTCCCCATGCTATGCTATGGAAGGCAACAGCAGTAACCGGCAGAGAAGGGGCAGTAAGAAGGTTCCCTTCCCCCTCACTCCTGATGACTTTCTACCTTCTGTCCCCACCAGGCACTGCAACATGGTGCTGGAGAATGTGAAGGAGATGTGGACTGAGGTCCCCAAAAGTGGCAAGGGTAAGAAGAAGTCCAAGCCAGTCAACAAAGACCGCTACATCTCCAAGATGTTTCTGCGTGGGGACTCGGTCATTGTGGTCCTGCGGAACCCACTTATTGCTGGCAAATAGGCCCTCTTCCCCACTGACAGCTTGCTCCCCCGTCTTGTGAAGGCCTGCTCTTTGTGATGGGAATAATAAAGCCCTGTGGTTTTTTTTCTAGTTGTATCTGTCTGTTCCTGGGGCCTTGTGAGTGTGGCAGACTTGGGAAAGAGGAAGGCAGCTGGGTGTAGGGCTGAACTCTGGGACTAGGACCCCCTAGTAGGTGAAGAGGCCCTATCTGCCCCATCCAGGCCTCCCTTTCCCCTGATGTGAATAGGTTGGGTTGAAATGGTATCTCACTTGTGATGGTGGAGGAAGTTTCAGTTTCTTCTATTTCAATTATTTTTTCCGTAACCCATCCCCAAAGTACATCCTCTGTGCCCACACCTGTGTTACAATGCTTGGAACACAGGCCTGCCCAAGATAGCCCCTGACCTGCCCTGATGGACAGGAAGAGTAGATAAGCATTTAAGTAGTCAGTACCCAAATACTCGTAGTGATCATAGTGAATACCTACTGGTCTGCTAAGGTGCCAGACTCAGTGCTTTCAGGTATCCTTCTGAAACCCTGAGGCAGGCCTGTTTATTTATTACCTCCATTTTCCAAAGGAAAGATCTGAGGCACCCAGCCAGGGAGTGGAACCCATCCCACTCCTGAGCCTGTAGAGTTTTGCTGCCCCTCAAATTCAACTTAATTACCTTTGGGAGAAATTCTCTGAAAAATTTGGGAAGATAAGAGGTGGGAAAGGGAGACGTTACCTACTCTTGAGTGGATGAAGTAGCCCTGTGACCTTCTGACCTTCCACACCTTGTATCTCTGTCACTGTCTTCTGGATATAGTAAAATACCAGGCAGATGTGGGAGTTTACAGGCCTGAGATCAATGCAAACTTTTTTTTTTTTTGCAATTTTTGGCCAGGGCTGGGTTTGAACCTGCCACCTCTGGCATATCGGGTCGGCACCCTACTCCTTTGAGCCACAGGCGCTGCCTGAAAACTTTTTTTTTGAGACAGAGTCTCATTTTGTTGCCCTCAGTAGAGTACTCTGGCATCATAGCTCACAGCAACCTCAAACTCTTGGGCTCAAGTGATCCTCTTGTCTCTGCCTCCTAAGTAACTGAGACTACAGGCGTCGGCCACAATGTCTGGCTAGTTTTTCTATTTTTAGTAGAGAAAGGGGTCTTACTCTTGCTCAGACTGGTCTGGAACTCCTCAGGTTAGGCAATCCACCTGCCTGGGCCTCCCAGAGTGCTAGGATTACAGGAGTGAGCCACCATGTCTGTCTTGCCTCACTAACAGTCTTAACTATGAGGAGCAGGATGGAGTTACAGTAGCCTCATCTGTAAAGTCTGGCAATGGTGTTACCACAGGAGGTTCTCCCTGGGTTCTTATGCAGGAGCAGCAACAACCCAAGCCCTAGAGTCACAGTCCTGTGTTGGAATCCCGCCCTGCCTCCCCCTGGTTGTTGACTTGTACTTACTGGGAAATGGAAAATGGTTTCCTTGCCTTGCAGGTTGGCATCCAGAATTCAAGTCCTGGGCACCCTGCTTGGCACAGTCTGATTTCTTTCCTCACCTCTTCACCCACCCACTGTCCCAAATGATTTCTATTTATGTTTTCTTTCAGAGAGTGAAAGGGAAAGCAGGCAGGTAAACTGCCAGGACTTAGCACACGGGACAGTGTCCTAAAAGTAACTCACTGGAATTTCAGGCAACAATTCCAATTTCCAGGTACCTAGGACATAGGTACCACCATTATACCCATTTCTAGAGGTAGAAACTGACATGCCAAGAAGTTAGGAATGTTCGCAAGTCACACAGCTAGTAAGTTGCCAAACTTAGCTCAGTCTAAGATAAGAACCAGTCTGGTTCCTACTGCTTTGTTATTCCTATACTCCCCTTCTAGAGAAGTAGCCCTTAAAAAGTTAGACCTATGTGTACCCATACGTACACAGGCTTATAATTTTACTTGTAACATCACCAACTGAAGATTCTTTTACACGAGGGGATAGTAGCAGCATGGTGTCCCTGTTTTCTTGTGGCAACACATTGCTGAAGTTGAGCAAGGCTACCACAGGCCCCCACCCAGTCATTTCCCATTATGACCTGGCTGAGATTCTCTTACCCCAGAAAGAAAAAAAAGCAGCTCTTTCTTGTGGTTTATTTACAAGGCCCCCAACCCACCAGAACCCACAAGCTTGAAAAGGCTGAGTTCAGCTATGGGCACATCTGTCCAGGGACTCCAGGGGAAATACTTGACAACACCCAGGTACTAATTGAGTCTGTGTATTTATGTGTGGGGGAGGGATTTAGGAGCGAGGGTCTTGCATGTATATAGGTGGTCTAGCCACAATGAAACTGTCAGCTTCCCTCCTAATTCTCCCAGTTCCCAGGGACCACCTATCTCAGGAGAGCAGAAACCTGTGTCCTCACTCCCCAGCTAGCATTGGGCCTGACTATTCTGGATAGAAATTTTCATCTCTGCAGCCTGCCTTGAGATTCCTGTGTTTCTATCTACCCACCAAGTCCCCCTCTGTGGATCCCAGTGCCTTTCACATTTCTATCTGCAGCTCTCACCTCTCCTGACAAGTTCATGCCCTTATACTCAGCTCCCTTAGGTATCCTACAGGCATTGACCACTTAATTGCCCAAAAAGCACTCTTGGTTCTTTGCACCCCAAACCCAATTCCCCCATCTTTCTTCACCAGTCTTTGACTTCTCTCTTTGCTACACATTCCTCATGTGATCCATTACAAAATCCTCTCATCTCTACCTTTATTTAATTAATTTATTTTTTGAGACAGTCTCACTCGGTTGTCCTGGGTAGAGTGCTGTGGCACCATATCTCACAGCAACCTCAAACTCTTAGGCTTGAGCAATCCTTTTGCCTCAGACTCCCAAATAGCTGGGGCTACGGGCACCTGCCACCATGCCCAGCTATCATTGCTGTTTTAGCTGGCTGGGGCCGGGTTCGTACCCTCCACCCTTGATACATGGGGCCAGTGCCCTTACCCACTGAGCCACAGGCACTGCCCTTTTTCTATTTTTAGTAGAGACAGGATCTTGCTTTTGCTCAAGCTGGTCTCAAACTCCTGAGCTCAAGCAATCCATCCACTTTGGCCTCCCAGAGTAATAAGATTACAGGCATAAGCCACTGTGCCCAGCCTCATCTCTACCTTTAAAATAGCATCAGAATCCAACTGCTTTATACCCCCTTGTCCTCTATCCTGGTCCAGTCACTGTCACTTCCTGCCTGCAGCCCCCTCCTCACTAGTCTCCCAGCTTCCATTCCTGCCCCTGTTAGGACTTCTGTTCCTGTACAGGACAGGCAGAGGGATCTGTTTAAAACATTAGTCCAGAGACACTCCTGCAAAGAATCTTCAATGCTCCTGGAATTAAATCCCAACTCTTGTGCCCACTTTTCTGTCTCTTGACTTTAACTTATTCTAGTCCAGCAAAGCAAGCAAAGCAAGGCCAAGCTCCTTCCTTTACCAGGGCCTTTGCATATGCTATTTATTTTGCCTGCAATCTTCCAAATCTTACCGAAATTGTATCCTTTACTTTTTTCAGGCATGGCTGAAATGTCACCTCCTCGGGGATGGCCTCCCACACCACCCTTAGCCCCCTTGCAATTTCCCTTCATTAGCCATTCCACAGCATCCATGTAACTTGATGTTTTATGTTCACCACCTGTTTTCCCCACTCCATTGTGATATCCAGAAGGGCAGGGACCTTGTTTTCCTGTTTCTTTCTCCCCCATTTTCCCAGTGGCCCCCACACTGGGCCTAGCACACAATAGGCACTAACAGAACTGACACAGAAATCAGCTACCTAGCAGTAACTTTCTAACACCCGGCTGGCCTCATCCCCATCCCCAGGGAGGGTCCCTAAGGACGAGGCGCGGCCGGTAGGGACCTTGCCTGGGCCAGAGCCCGAGGGCAGGACCCGGGAGATACTCTCCGGAAGCTGGAGCTGCTCGTCGCCAAAGCTGTGGCGCAGGCGGCAGTGATACCAGGCACGGCGGATCTCCGACTGCACCTGCAACGGGACGGCGATCAGAGGCGGCGCCGTTCCCTGCGTGGTCGCCAGAGGGCGCAGGCGGCGGGCCAGGGCTCTTCGCACCTCCTTGTTGATAAAGCAGTAGAGTACGCTGACCAGGAAGCCCTGCCAGAGGAGGCACAGGGGGGTTAAATCGGGAGTGGAGGCAGGATTATAATCATCCCCATAATGAGCTCGAAATTTGTCAGACCCCAAAACACTCCAGCTGCAGTCACCTTGGTCCTAGGCTATTGGGATTACCTTCTCATTGGCTTCTGATTTACACTCTTTCCTCCTGTACTGCCCTGGAAGGATAGCTGAGCAGTACTGGGGGGCGGCGGGCAGGCCCTGGAGGTAGGACCGCCTCCCCACTTTCCCACTTGGGAAAGCTGCTTAACCTCTCTGTAGCTCAATTTCTTCATCTGAGAAATGGAGCAGTAAGTAATCCAGCAGTGGTTGTGAGAACTGAAGTATTAACATGTAAAAAGCTGTAGCATCTGGCACGCAGAACATTTTTCTTTTTTGTAATCTTATTTTAACTAATCATATATCATTAATTATTAATAAATTAATTATGAACAGTTTTTAGCTGCATAAATTTGTACATGTTCTACATCTAAATTTACTTTTTATTATTATTTTATTTTTGAGACAGAGTCTCATTATATCGCCCTCAGTAGAGTGCCATGGCATTATAGCTCACAGCAACCTCAAACTCTTGGGCTTAAGTGATTCTCTTGCCTCAGCCTCCCAAGTAGCTGGAACTACAGGCGCCCTCTCCAACACCGGGCTACTTTTAGAGACAGGGTCTTACTCTGACTCAGGCTGAACCTATGAGTTCAGGCAATCCACCTGCCTCAGCCTCCCAAGTGCTGGGATTACAGGTGTGAGCCACTGTGTCTGGCTATATATGTACTATTATTAAGACACTAATCTTAGTATTAATTTCCATGGTGCTGTTAAAATCTAACTCAGCTGCCATCCCTCTGCCCAGAGCCCTCCCATGGCTTCTGCTTGGAGCAGAGGAAAAGCTGAAGTCCTTACCTGGCCCCTAAGAACCCTCCCTTCTCTATCCTCATGCCCCCATTCCTCCTGGTTTGCAGGTTCCTATTCTTCGGGCTCACTGGTCTTCCTCTATCACAGGGGCTGCTCTTCTGCCTCAGGGATCTTGCACTTGGTGTTTCTCTTCCTGGAACATTTCCCCCAGACATTTGCCTCTCCCACTAGAGAGGAGGGGTCATTTGGCTCTTGGCTGTAGCCCTGTGATAAACCTGGAAGAGTGCTCGGTGTATATTTGTGCTTAGTAATATTTTGCTGAATTTAACGAATAAAGAGGTTTGTAAGAGACTGGTATTGTTGCCACTTTTAGAGATGAGGAAATTCAGTCTTAACAAGATCAAACAGGGTGGGAACCAGGGCAAGGCCAACAAGTGGAGAGTTGACCCTAAAATTTTGTCATTTGTTTTTTGGTTTTTGTTTTGGAACAGAGTTTCACTCAGTCACCATGGGTAGAGTGCTATGGCATCATAGCTCACAGCAACCTCAAACTCCTGGGCTCAAGCAATCCTCCTGCCTCAGCCTCCTGAGTAAAGACAGGGTCTCACTTTGCTCAGGCTGGTCTTGTGAGCTCAAGCAATCCACCTACCTGGGCCTCCCAGAGTGCTAGAATTACAGGCATGAGCTACCATGCCTTAAAATTTTGGAATGAGCACCTCCTTAAATTCTCCATTTTACGCACTTCATTTGCCTCTGCCTAGTCCCATCCTTGAGGTGAAAGCCACACAGCTGGCAAGCAATCGAATCTGAATGTGGGCCCAGCTGTGTCCAGCCTGAAAACCTCGCTGCTCACGAGGAGGCAGTACTCTGACCTAGGCAGTCTTCCCTGTCCTGGTCCCTGCTGCTTCTCCAGCCCAGGGCAGCCTTAGCTCAGTATTTTGTGTTAAAAGAACAAAATCTCTTCTTCACACCCCATTCAGTGGCCAGAGGATCACAGTAGCCCTCATGACTAGGGTGACCAGATGTCCCGCTTTTGGCGGGACAGCCCTGCTTTCTAACAAGTTGTCCCGCGTCCCACGGCGTTTTTAAAAAGTCTCGATTTTTGGAAAGAATGAACGAATGGGCGCGAGAACAGGAAGGGAATATACGGTTTTCGGCTGCCATGTGGCTATTTCGCCAGAATATGAGTTTTATATTTTGTTAATTTTATGTTAAACTGTAATAATAACAAATAATTGTTGAGAAGTGATTATCGAGAACTGCTTATCAAAGTTTGCATAATGTTGTCAGGCCTTGCCCTGCCCCGTCCCCGCCCCCC